GTCAAACTAATTGATCACGGATTATTTCGTGGTCACAAATCAAAAATTTTGCAGGTTACATTTTATCTATGGATCATATAAATCAGAGTTTATTGGTCACAATTTATTTTTTAGTCACAGACACATAATATTTAGTCACAAATCAGCCAAATGATTGGCACAAATGCCTAAGTAGTTGGTCACAAATTATATTTCAGTCACAAGTTATCATTTTTTAATGTCACCGTTTAATAATTAGTCACATATAACCAAATAATTGGTTCACTACCACCACCACTCGCGATCACAATTGCCAGCACCGCAACACCACTACCATCGCACCACCACCATCACCGTCAACACCTCCACCTGTACCTCCAACAAAAACCATTACCAGATCGACCATCGCCACCAAATACCAATAATAAAAATTTTAAAAAAAAACCCCAAAATACAAATTGATCAGATCCAAAACTCAAAAAACCCCCAAAAATGCAGATCGATTCACTACACCACCACCATCGCAGCTGCCACCTCCACAGTCAAACCACCATCGACACCTCCAAAAGTACGATTCAGATCACCATCACCTCCACCCGCCAGATCCAAAACCCAAAAAATCAAATTAACCAATGTTCACAACACCCTAGACCACACTCTTCCTTCCCACTCCACTGCAGTCCCTGTCACCATCACCATCGCCATTGCCACAGTCACCACCATTACAGCCACACCAACATCAACTCACCATCATCGCCAGCAGTGCCACCACTTCACCACCACCACACCTTCACAGCTGCCAGCCGACAATTCTAAAACCACCACCAGCATACCCACATCAACCACAAACCACCATTACAACAACCACACACACCATAACAACCGTACAAAAATTATCAAAGCAACCATCGGCCACACAAGCCACCATATCTATCGGAGAAATCAAACTTAGAAATTAAGAGAGAGAGAAGAAGAAAATAACATATCTACTGGTGGGCAGCCGCTATCATCGAGCACCAGATCGTCTGAGTAGGGTGTACATCGAGAGTCATTGGAGTGGTTGCAAAGAGAGGCACCCGAGTGTAAACTATGGAATGAAAACTGATTTATTAGGTAGGAGGATGGGGATATGTTTATTTACTTTTATAATATTGTTATTATATATTAATTACCTGATTTGTACTTAATTAAACTTCTTACTTGATTTAAGAATAGTGATCTTTAAAACCCTGATGGGATGTAATTTTTCCATAAAAAAATACCTTAAAAAAAGGCTATTGGGCCTGAGAGGAGCATAAAAAGAGTTGCATAATTCCAAATTTATTAAAGTGCAAAATCTTACATAAATATGAAGTACTATAAGTGTGGCCAAACATGCCATATGCTGAATATTTTCAAATATACAATATCTCTTAGTCTAGTTTGCCGTCTAAATGATTTGTGACATAAGATTGGAAGGGATAACGATTTATTTAAGTTTTTCAAACATCACAAGATTTTCTTGATCAATCCTTAATTCATTGTTGACAGTCAATATTAAAATTTAAAAAGCAATTTGAATTAGCATTGTTAATTTGAAATTTTTTAAAAATTGTTTCGATAACACGTCAACTCAGCTTAGGTTGTGAGATCAGAATTCTTTAAAGAATTTGCTATTTTAAACGATACTTTATTCAATTATGGTGAATTTTCGTATTTGCGATCATGTTTGCCTAGTCTCTATAAATGTTCTATCGTTGATTAAATTAATTTTTATTTATATATTTCATAAAATCCACAAATAGCATCCATTCATCCATCATTATTTTCTATCTAATTAAAATTTAAAAAATTATATATGACTCCCAAACTTCTCGTTTTGCATGTATAATAGATAAGGATGTGAACTAAAAAAAAATTTTAAAAATATTGGCATGAGGGCTATGATGCTAGCATGGTCAAATTGGTTACTATGGTTAAACAATTATGCTACAGTGCAGATGTATTGACATAATCTTTGAAATAATGTCACATGAAATCTTATTATTGAACAATTAAAAATATAGTCAACATTTCATCTAATCATCTACCGCCGCATACATATCTATTAACCTTAAGGTCATTTTCTTTCTGGCAAAGTATATTAATCCCCAGTTAAATTGGTGCAGGAATAAAAATAAATAAAAGAGCCGCTATTTTCACCCACTATTCTTATATGGATAATTATATTTACAACATAATTTTTGTTTCTTGCACCACCTTTTAATTGCAGTTAAGGTTGTTAATCTTTAGTCATTATACCATGTATGTCCATAACAATTGTTTTTGTCATTCTTTATCCTTAAACCTTTTATTAGTTAACACATTTTTTATTTGATAACAATTTTATGTCCAAAACTCCATTGAAATAGCATAAAACAACTTTTTTAATCATATTTAAATAAAACGTGCGAAAAATATTTTTTCCTTATTTCACAGTATGAAAACAAAATATTTTTATATATTTCATCATCAAGAACGAGACGTATTAATTAATGAAATGTTGAAGAAAAGAATTCAATGAAAAAAATTTAAGAAAATAATTACTAAAATGAGCAAAGATTGAAGAGTTTATTTGCAATTAAAATATTGTGTATCAAATAAAAATTGTGGTGGTAATATAAACACACTTTTTATATATCTATCTATTTTCATTATTTTTTAAGTTATATTACATTTTTGACTTTATGAAAATTTATTTAAATAGTATGAGATAGATATATAAAAATAGTTGATGAAAATATTGACTCTCAAAATTAACAATACTTTAGATAAAATATTTACCACGCCCTTCGCTGAAGGGTGACAATGGGCTATTGCCCACGAGCTAGATCACAAACCGAGCTAGATGCTTGTTTTGAAAAAGTCGAGATCGACAAATTCATTGTAAAATTGACTTTGTGACATAACAGGTGAGTCGCCTCCAATATTGAACAAGACCTCAACAAATGATTGTAAATCCATTTGTAATAAATTGATAATATAAGACTTGATTCCTTGAATGAAGATGAAACGACGAATTAATATTCAGAAATTTGATAATTATACGAACGTAAATTGTAATAAATTGGTGTATAAAATGTTATGTAGAGAATCGAATTGTGATTTGTGTTGCGGAAACTTTTGAGAAATCTTGGATTTTGGGGCTCAAAAAACAACCAAACGAACATCAAAATCACCAAGGCTTGACCCAAAACCGAACTCTATGTTGGTTGCTCTAAGTTCTCTCAATCCCACAAAAAAGAATGGATGGTGGTGGTACTAGCAAGAGTAGGAAGAAGAAGAAGCAACAATACTAAAAATATCTCCCAATTCTCTCCTCTCCATCTTTCCAACCGGCCGCCCTCCCTTTCCATTTTCTTCCCATCCCTTGCTACAATAAATACACACCACACAAAAACGGCTTACAGGGATGGATATATAGATTGAATATTAGGCCACTTAATTGGGCCAACAATAAAGTAAATGGGCCAAAATAAACTAAAGCTTAAACCATCAAGTGGGCTATTTAAACCTAAGGCAAAACTTAATAACAATTGGGCCAAAATTCACATATCCATAAATAATAAATCCAACTCTAACTTGGGTCATCCAAAAGTATAGATCGTTCATGGTGTGGATAGATTATCCGTCAACTATTCTAAATCATCATCTAGATGTATTGGGTATCAAAACCCAACAAATTGTATAGTAAAGTAAGTAAATAAAGAGCATGGAAAGAAAGTATTGGAATGTAAATTTGTAGTGTGATAATTGATATTGAATAATTGAAATTGAACGTAGAATGTAGCAGATTCTAAAATGTGGAAAATAGTAAGAATTGTTGTTGGTGCGTGAAATAACTTTGAATTGAGTTGAGGTATTTATAGAATAAAAAAAAAGGGAAGGAAAAAGGGCCAAAACGGCCACTTTTGTAAGTTCAGTGACCGAACGATCACTGTAGTGGCAAGTAGGGCTGGGTACCCAACCTGATCAACCCAAACCAACCCGATCGATTTGGGTTGGTTCTTTAAGTTCAAATGGGTTGGGTTGGATTTCGGGTTATGATTTAAAACCCAACCCGATGAATTAAAATATATATATATCTAAGATGAAAAAAAAAACTAAATTAAAACAATAGTAAAGATATGAAAATGACTTATAATTTATAAATGTCCATTTTTTTTTATATAGATTGATTCCTATAAACATAATTTACAAATGAAATGTTATTTCATAATAAAGTAAAAATTAAGAAGATGATGATGAAATGAATGAATCCCAAAAAATTGTAAAAAATATAAAATAATAATAATAAATACTTCATAAATTTTAAACCTATTTACATCATTTTTCAAAAAGAATTCCTTACATAGGTATTTAAAAAAAAAAAAAAATTAGAGATTTTCAAGTAATTTCAAACTTTAAAAATTTATCTAAATTTAAAAAAAATATAATCGAATCCAACTTTAATTGGATCGAAACCCAACCCAAACTTGATTGGGTTGGGTTGGGTTAACTTTAGATAAAACCGATCATATTGGGTCGGGTTTGGGTTGGGGAAAAAATCGACCCAACCCAACCCATGCCCACCCCTAGTAGCAAGCTACGAGCCACTACACGAGCCCACGAGCCGCTCGCCCAATGGGTGAGCTGAACTGATTAGGCTCATGCACGGCTCATCTAGCCCATGAGTCGAGTTTTGATGAGCCAAGGCGACAAACTACTTGACCCGTTTGCCACTCTACCCCGAAGTTCTCTACATGATTGGGTATGAGCAGACACTTCCAACAGCCTAATTATCAAAATTAACAGCTAAATCAACCAGCTAAGTGTAGAAAATAACATAATTCACATGTACGCCTACATGTGTTTGTAAACATGAGGTGTTAAATTGCACCTTTCAGGTTGAGATCGGATTTCAGATGCAAAACGATACCTAACAAAACATAAAATAAAGTTTACTATATTCACACTTAACACTTTCAGAACGAAAAAGGATCAGAACTATGAATTGAACTTATAGGAGGAGCTGGCTGTGATTAACCCAGCTGCAACGAGATTGCTGAAGGGATGAAAGTCGAGGTCAAATGGAAGTTTTCCCGAATCTATCTCCATTACATAACTTCGTGAAAATATTTTTCAATAAAAATTGAATTTTTTGTGTTAAGATGAAGGGTTTAGTGTAGGAATATCATAGTAGAATGGCAAATTTTGGGGGCAGAGTTGCAGGGAGACACAGTGGAGGTTTAGGTATGAGCAAAGTATTATTATTATTTTTTTAGATTTTCGAGCGAGATAGATGGATATAGAAAAGTAGTGTGGATATATTAACGTTTAATTGAATGAATTTAATAAGGTAATATTATAATGTAACGTGGATAAATATAATATTTTTTAAAAATTTTGATATGGATAAATTTAGAGTAAGATAGATACAATAAAATTGCGAATGAAAAAAAATAAAAAAAAATGAGGAAGATTTTTATAATCCTTTGACTTTTCTTGGTTTTCCATGATGTTTCTCTTTACGGATTCTAAGGAGATTGAAGGGACTCTTTTTCTTTTTTATTTATTTATTTTTTTTTGTAAAGCTGATTAGTGTAAAAGCTAAAACATTCTCAAATTAGTACACTTTTAGGGTTCATACTTAAATATATCGAGTAGGTGATATGGATTTCTTGTCCACGACTTTTGTATATATAAAGTCGATCTTTCTAGCTCATAACGTTAATTTATTTGATATCATATAAACACATGCTCAATAATTATTGACATTCAAGTGTGAACTTTAGATATAGAGCTCAAGATTTCTAAACGAATTTTATTTTTTCTCGATAATAATTTATATCTTAATGTTAAATTCATAAGCAGTCAAGTCCAAATGGGTACAAATACTAACATATGTGATAATCAAGACAATGATAGCTTAGCTATCTTGACAAAAGTATTCTAAATGTTTTGCCGACAAATGAAAAGTCACACCAGTTAGGTTAAGTGGAATTACAATAGATACGATTACGATTTAATGTATGTGTACATGTCTAATATCATTCAAATTTCATCTTTGATTACTACCTAAATAGATATAACATTGCACAAAGTTGGTAGGTAACCTAGATAGTTGCGTCATGTCAAGACTTTAGATGTTCAACACTTGGTAAAGTCGCTCTAGTCTCGTATCGAAAGATATTACAGAAGAGAAAATAATATATACGACATTAAGAAATCAAAAGAAAATAAAGTTGGATGACTAACATGAAATTCTGCTACAAGTTAAACAACCAACAGTATTTTCAGCCAATATAGATAGACAAATGTGTCAAAGAAAATTACATAGCTTTTCTTGAAGTAAAAAAAAAAAAAAATAAAAAAAAAAACCTCACAACTTCTGCACCAATAGATTAACTCCATGTCCAGGCTCAATAACCAAATTGAGGGCTGGTGAATGAATGTATTTAGAGGACAAAGTGAATGAAAATTTAGACAAAATTAGAGATACAAGTATTTTAAGTTCAACCAAGGCTAAATTCTGGCCTAGACACACCCTTGGTCCAACCCCAAATGGCATGTACAAGTGTGGAAATTTGCAGGCACCTGTAATTCCATTTGCAAACCTTCCTGGATTGAATTGGTAGGAATCAGGTCCCCAGTTGTCCGGATCAGTGTGTAATGTTGTCACCAGTGTCCATAGATTGACACCCTTGGGAACTTTAAGGTCTCCGAATTTCATGTTGGTTAAGGCCTCCCTTGAGACGACCGCCACTGGAGGGTAGAGGCGTAACGACTCATTGATTGCCATGGTTAGCTGCAAGATTGAATGGAATGGAGTGTTAGAAAAAATTGCAAAGGGACCAGTTGTAGTGGTCCTCCTTGGATTTGTACTAGAGAGACTCGGTCATATGAATGTAGCCAATTAAAGCTTAGGCATGAACGACTCAATTACGTGTTTGACCGCAAATTCTATATGCCTCCGTGAAGTTGTGAGGCTACCTGCCTAGAAAGGCTCGAGTTTTGGAATTTAATTCTTGTTTGACATTTCATTTTTAGCTAAAAAATTCATTTTTAAAGTCAAACATTAATTTTAACCATAAGTTTTGTGGAATCCATTAGTAATACCCATTTATTCACCACTCATTTTTATCAACTTATAACTTTTAACAAAATATATATATATATATATGAAGCCTAAACAAAGGCTTATGAACACCTACAAGTTGAGGGTCGATGGATTACTCAATCATGTACACTCCATCACACAATTCAATATGCAATGAAGACTCGATCATAGGAATTTAGAATACCTAAAAGTTCAAGTAAGGCGTCTAAGTCCTATATGCTCCACCACTCAATTCTATATGTATCTACAAAGCTGTGATGGATCCTATGGACAGCCCGGATGTAAGACTTGGTTCTTGAATAGGAATGGCAGCTAAGCAGCGTCTGGAGATGGATCGAGATTAAAATATCCCGAGCCATATACTTATTTATTTTCAAACGATTTTCAGGTAATCATGTGGATAGCATGTCATAAATAGAAAGCAGCCAGATTTTACCTGTTTCATTTTCCGAATCATATCTGCATCCGGGTTTCGGCCCTTGCAGATTTCTTGAACCTCAGAACGAATCCGATCTTGCCATTGTGGATGAGAAGCCAACAGCATGAGACACCATGTAGCAGAAACTGCTGTTGTCTCATACCCAGCCAAGTAAATGTTTTTGCAATTGTCCACAATGAAACGATCGATTGAATCTTGGCTTAAATCACTGCTTTTAGCCCCCTCAAGAACCATTTGCAATAAATCTTTCTCATATCCAACTTCTTTTCTTTCCTTCACTACATTCAATATCAATGTCTTGATCTCTTTCTCTAATGCCCATGCTTCCCTATTGCTCTTTATTGGGAGATGCCTGGAAAAATTCCTCATCTTAGACTTTAAGAATTACTTTAAGAATAAGTAATTTTGTGTTATTCAAAAGTAGTAAAAAGTAACATATCCAAATGTATGTTTTGAAATAAAAAAATAGTCTGGTATCTAAGATACCAATTTTTTAAGTTAGCCAAATGGGACAATTATTGAGTCGAGTGTACCAAACATGCCTAAATGCATCGGAATTTTGGTATACTTGGCAATTGAGTACTAATGCTAAATTGAAAGAAGCATATATACCTCATGCCAGGAATTCCTGTAGCCAGTACTTTCTTTGATGCAGCTTCCTGGAGGGCCCTAAGTCTCAAGAAAATTTCCTCCCCTTTGGAATAGTTACTCCCAAAACAAGCTCTAGATATCACATCTCCAGAAAAATTTCTCATGTGCTTATCAATAATGATGTCCGCCTGGCCACCTTCCGCCTCAACTATTTTGTTCCAAGAGTTCAATAATGTGATAGTCGAATCTTGAACCAAAGTTATCATCCCCTGAATGCGTAAAAATAAGCAGAAATGTCACTTGTTATGGGTTAAACAATAATCCCTACTTATGAGAGCAATAATCACGAAAATAAATAAAATCAGAGCACATAAAGATTGGGTTTATAGGAATAATGCTATTCAGCACCACTGGTGTTAAGTACTAGTCTAAATGACAATTATATAACATTAAATGATAGATATTCACGTAAATGTTATATCACATGATTCATTGATTAAATCTATCAAATGCGATCACCTAGATCGATGCTTATTCATGCATAAAATAGGCCATCAATTGTCAAGGGGGAAGTGTACAATAATCTTTAAAAATTTATACCTTGACCTTCTCCATGTATAATTCAGGAGCAAGAATCTTCCTTTGATGAGCCCAAATGGCGCCATTAGAAGTAAGAATGCCTTGGCCTAGCAATGAACCCCTTTCTTTTGCTTGATATGTTGGCTTCCCTAAATCCAAAGATGTGCAAGTAGTAATCTCCCTCACCATGTCAGGTTGAGTCACATGCACTATTTGTATATTCCCAAGTGAAAACATAAACACGTCGCCTGCATATCCATAGAAAAGGTGGATAAAACACGAATAGTGCCCAAGTTTCATTTTTGTACGAGTCGACGAGCATATATGTACATAGTATCGAACTCGATAGTCAGTACTAAATGAGAAAAGGAAGTTAAAACTTTTAATCATATACAGAGAATTCTTAAAATGGAGTTTCGAGAATTCTTACCGTATTGCTTCCTCCATTGATCGAAAAACGGAAGAAGAGTATCCCCACAGTTGTGGGAGGCTGGAGGGCCATTAATAGAAGCCTTGGCTGCTGAATCTCTTGCCTTTTTGATCTCCAATATGTTTCCAAGAAGAAGAGTCGGCCGCGGGCCGCTCACTCCTTGCCGTTTAAGGGCGGAGCGCAGTTTCTCCGGCTTCGCCACCAAGGTATTGTAAAGATGGAAAAACAGTCCCAAAACACCAACCAATGCAACAGAAAGAAACGCCTTAAACAAAAAATGGAAATCCATGATTGATTTGTAACTTAAAATTTTTGTTTCTTTCCTTTTCTTTGTCACCTTTTATAAACTTTTTGGTTTTGGTACTTTAAGGAAATTAAATACTGTATGAGAATCTTGTAGCTTGTAAGAAATTTATAAAATTTTGTTTCGTACGTCACAGCATAGAAAAAAATTAGTGTTGTAGAAATGTTGTTCACCAGAATTGTATGGCCAACGACTGGAGAACCTGTCACATTCTTGGCTGACTGATTCAAAACTCAAAGTCAAATAATATCAGTTAATGACTGTGAAATACGAATAAATTATATTCACCTCCCTTGAAATTTTGATTATTTGGAGAACACCCTTATCAAGTTTATAAGATGTCAATAATGCTCCATTCCAAGTTTGTTTTTAGTAAATATACCACGAATTTGTGGGTATCTTTAAGCCTTCTTTTCATATCTAAAATATCGTATAATCATTGTGACGGTGTCAGCAGATCAAGAAACAATTAGCAATAAGTATATTCTTTGAAGATATTTACAATCCGCTTAGGACTGTTTGCAACACTACAATCGATAAAATATTTCTATGTTCCTTAAGAAAGAAGAAGTTATAAGCTCGAACCTTTTCTAATCGATGAATTAAGAAGAAAATGAGTACAAGTTTCACGGGTTCTTGTAAAAATTTTAAAATTTTTATTCCTCAATTAACATGAGATACCAAAGAACTCGAAGGCCCGCCTAGCAAAGGTTAAACTCGTGTTACAACAAGCATTATGTAATAAAAATGATGAAAATAAAGGGAGAAATTTTTTTCTATGATTAGGCAAAATC